TGGTATATTATATTCTAATTCACATTCTTCTAAGATTTTATACTTCAGAAATTTATCAATCAGTTTCTTTATTCCCTGTTTAGCTTCTGGTCTTATTGGATACTGTTTAATCCTAACCAGTCTTGCCCCTTCCTTTAAATCAACTTTTATCGACTGGGCCATTTTAGATTTTCCTGGAATAACAGTCTCCCACACTGTAGGATATACTGTGTTTTCTATTTCTGGAGGCACTCGCCGTCACTTTAGGTCTTTCTTTTATCACTAAAATTTGTCCTGGTTTTGATTCAGGTATTTTCAACAGTAAGTTCCCATTCTCAAAAATAATTTGCGCATTCAATTTGGACAGTAAATCCCTTCCCAACAGAGGCAGTGGGCATTCAGGGACATACAAAAATTCATGGGTTATTATCTTATTTCCAAATTGTAAATTCAGGGGTTGTGGGAACGGCCGATTTTCCTCCTTCCCTGTGGCTCCCACAATATTTACTGTTGTAGTCCCAGTCTTTCCTTTTTGTTTATTTAATACAGAAAATATTGCACTTGTATCCACCAGAAATGTAACTTCCTTTTCTCACAGCTTTATCGTTACCAGAGGCTCAGCTGGGTTTGCCTCCAGTGCTAGTCATGGTGTATATTTTCCCAAAACCATTACATTAGCTGCAGCTTGTTGGTTGGTAAATCTTGGACTCCTGTTTTTCCAGTCTTATCAAGCTTGTTGGTCAATAGATCTTGGACACTTATGTTTCCAGTGTCCTTCCTCCCGACAGAAAGCACATTGATTACATCCAAGAGGGGCTCGGCAAATTTGTCCCCTTCCTCCTCCCGTTGTAAAGCCTCGTCCCCTGCACTGACCCCGGTTTGCAATTCCTAAAGCTTGTGTCATAACAGCAAGCAATTGTTTTTGTTTTCATGTTTCATTCTCTTTATCTCGATTGTTATAAACTTTCCATGCTACTTCTAGTAACTGGTCCAAATTCCAAATTCCTTTCCCTTCCAATTTCTGGACCTTTTTCCTTATATCTTCCTGGGATTGTCCCAAAAAGATTAAAGTCAATTGTGCTCTTGTCTCCTCGGCTTCAGGCTGAAAATCCATATATTTGTGGACTGCTTCCTTTAGCCTTTCCAAAAATGTTGGGGACTCATTCTTTTCTTGCCAAATTTCATATAATTTGGACCAGTTTACAGTTTCAGGCATAGCATTTTGAACACCATATAGGATCCACTGTTGGTATTTTTTTAATCTTTCCATATGATTGTCCCGATTCGGGGCCCCCTGTGGAGTCCCGATTCGGGTCCCACTGTGGAGTCCCGATTCGGGTCCCACTGTGGAGTCCCAGTCGGGAAATTCTGGTCTATGGCTCCATCTACTGTCCGAGTGCGGACATCCTCTTCTGCTGGCCGCCTGGCAGTTCTTAAAACCATCTGTTTTTCCATGGAATCCATAAAAGTGACTAAAATGACTTGTATATCGTCCCAATCTGGATTTTGAGTCTTAATTATCTTTCCCATTACCCTCCCCACCTTACCGGGGTCTTCCTTGTAGGGACCCGCCGATTCCTTCCAGATTATAAGGTCGGAAGGAGATATATACCGGTTCCCGTTGTCCCACGCCCTGTCTTAAAGGAGCTATTAACCGCCTCCCAGCTTGTGATCTTAAACGGGTTATCAGGTGAGTACGCTGCCTTGTTCTCCTGGATATGGGAGTAGAAGAATCTGAATCTGATTTTTCCTTTACTCCACTACTATCCAGGTAGGGACTAAATTGATTAGTCTCTGGTGCCGATTGCCCTGCCAGGTGGTCGACTCCAGGATCAGGTCTGAATTCAAAGGAGGGCTGAGAAGGAGGATAAACGGGAATGGGAGCTATAGGGGCAGATGGCACTATGTCCAGTTCTGGCCCCATATCTGCCCTCTGCCTTTCTTTTTCTTTCATAACCAGGTGTTTACAGTACATTTTGGTGGAAGTACAAGCAGTGCAATTTTCCTGAACCTATTATGGCTTTACTCACAAAGACATTTCTTTAGTATATTCCTGATTATTCATTTTACACTCCCTTTTCCAGTCTGGCTTTTCCCAGAGATAAAAGAAAAGATCTACATATGGTAGTTTGGGAGTTCATCCAATTTTCCTTCTCTCTTACAAAACAACATCAATTGCAAAATAGTATTGTAATTCAAAGTCCCATTTAAAGGCCACTTTTCCCCACTCTCCAAATCATACAATAACCATATTCAATGAGCTGACTCTTGCACAAATTGCGCAGTTCTCCCCAGTGCGCTAAAAGACATCCTAAAGGGGATGTTTCAGGAATAGTGTTTCCACTCACTCATTTCATCCTTACGCTTCACTTATCTCTGGCTGTTTCCCTCATGGGATAACAGAACCGCAGATCAAAGCTCCACACTCGCTTCGTGCGCAATTGCATGTCTCAGCCACTCACACTCTCACAGTTTTCAAAGTTACTTTTCCAAAATGCCTTTTTTTTTTTTTTAAAAATTATTTACTTCTGCAGGTCCACTTAATACCAATACCAATACCAATACCAATACCAATACCAATACCAATACCAATACCAATACCTCTGTTAACCCTGCGATTGCCGTATGGGTTCTTTATACCAATGCCAACTCTGCGATGGCTTTGGCGTTCGCCTTACAGGCAGTACCTAGGCTCCCAAGACAGGGCAATTCCCTAGCCCAACCATGTGGAGCTTTCGCTCCGTCTAATGGGCAGGCTCCTTGGCTCCACCTGGGCCCAACCAAGCGGGGTGTTCGAAACCGCGACTTACAGGTTAGTTCATCAGGTTTAAGCCCCCCAAAAAGAAGTGCCTTACCATACCAGGGAACGTTGCAAGGAGCTGTAAGAGTTGAAGGTGATGGTCCTCCCTGAGAATTCCTCAGTGATGGCTGGAGTTCGATCAACACCTGACCTTGTCCAGTCTCAGTCGCAAGGTCCCACCTGGGTTGCCAAAACTGTTGACAGGGTCTCAAACACGACGAGAAAAATTTATCTACGCAGTAGCAGATAAGCAGGAACTTCTTTATTGCAGCGCTGGGGAAACACAGAGTGTAGCTCCTCTAATTGTGCTCTGAAGACCATACATTTTCACAGCCCATTTATACATTTTTAACAAAGCAAAATTATACAGGCATGCATAAAATGTCTGCCTTTTAATTTGCCCTTTTCCTTGATTGATTCCTTACTACCATGCCATATAAGACATTGAATTACTTCAAAAGCTTACCCCTATATAATTTTGACATGGAGAGAAAAGAAAAGTTATGGCCTATCCTTGTGGTTGTCTGATCACAGATATTATCCTTCATGCTATTGTTTAATTCTTATCACAACTATTTTCTTGAACATGGTACGTATCGTTTCCAAGCACCTGCACACATATATCCTGTAGTCCTTTTTAACTTTGTAGTTTAAACAAATACTTATTCCAACTGCTTAATCGTCAACCTACTTTAATTACCTTGATTGGTCAAAGTGTTGTTTTAACTCTTCAGTTTAAACAAATACCTACTTACTTTAATCAACCAAAATTTTCTCTTGATTGCAACAAAGGTAAGTTATTTGGCAATTAGCACGGGAGCATCTCTCAGATAGTGTTTGAAGCCATCAAAAGTCACAATTACATCATAGCATAGGAAGGCATTAATGAGAGCACTTTCGTTGCCGATGCTTTAGACAATGCTGCATACTCCTGTATTCCCTCTAAGTGGCTTAGGCTGTAACATAATAGGCAGATGCTGGCCATAGGCACATAAAATTGTCTGATGGAAACAATCATGGATAGAACAATTATCTGATGAAGAAGAACGGAAAAAAAGAATGAAATATTAGCTGGAAAGAGGTGAAAGGGGAAGGCTGTCTGCAAGCAGAAAAATGAACGCATGTATGTGCATGCACACACTGGCTTTGTGCTGTTTGTAGAATGGGACTATGTTTCAGAGAAATAATGTGAATGATTAATCTCTGCATGTTTGCCAAACAAGCACTCACAATAATGCATTATTCAAAACAATTTTCTAGCCTCTGATCAGAATTATTTGTCCCAAGGTGCAGTTTTCGGTCTAGTTTTCTGCTCTCTCTGACTTACGGTCCTGAGGCAGCGAAGGTGTGTGTACAAGGAAGTGCACACAGGGAGGGCTCACATGGGATTCATTGGGATTATTCATGTACAAAGCATTGACTTGGCCTTTACGTGTTTGCTGGAACAGGGTGCAAATGGTAAAAGGAGACTCCAGATTCATAACCCTCATGGTGAAGAAACTTGGCAACAAAATAAGACTATAACTCCATGAAAGAAACATGTCTAACTTATTCAGAGCAGCTGAAACGAGACATAAGGAACATCCTTAGAGCATAATCATGCATTGATGATCCAGGATCTCTTTTATGAGACTGCCAGAAATAGGGTCACAGTTTTTCAGTATTGTCTTTGATAAGAAATATTTTCTAAAAAGAGTTTTTGCCCTTAGTGCTTCCTTTGTTAAGAACTGAAGAGTGCTTCTTGTGGGAGTAACTTGCATTTACCTTTTATTTGAAGCAAAAAATTATTTAGATTAAGTCTCTATTTAATATTCTAACTAGTGGTGGCTAGTGGTATCAGATCTATTCATTATCCAGTGTATCTGGAGGTAGTATATACAGGACTTGGTTTAATTTATGCTTCTGATATAGATATGGTACAAACCTACAATATATTTTTCACTTCAAATAAATGTTTATTTCTAAAAAAAAATATAAAAAGTCCTTACCTGGACAAAATATATTTCAATGTAGAAGTAGAGAGGTTGATTTTTATGTGAGAGAATAACAACACAGACAGTGTTTGGTATCACTCAGAGCTTGGCTGTCAGGTAAACAATGAAAAAGAAAGATCACATCCATAAATTCAAAAACTGAAGAAAGGACTACTTTATGATTATTTCTAGCTTAATGCAGCCAGAAGGGAGGCTGTCTGACCAATATTCTGGTTTCGGTCTTACAGAATGGAATGGATGTGCTTCTCACACCGAGAATGACTGCTCTGTGTTTGCAGAGTGTATCAATTTAATGGGCTCGTACCTGTGCAGGTGCAGGACAACCATGGATACCAACCCATCCCGACCTGGAAGAAACTGTGAGGGTGAGCAAAAGACTGGCATGTAGTTCTCCTTTGCCATTAATGGCTGGAATAAGTTGTGGTTTTCTACCTCTGCTTTTATTGCAACTGTTTATATAGCACACAATGTGTATATAGATGCACCTTCGTGGACTCTGGCTGAAGAGGTATATACAATCTGTCTCTGAACATGAGAGTGAACCTTATATATGTCTTCAGATGAATTCTCTCTGAGATTCTCCTTGATTAGCCTAATAACTGACTGTTGAGCAACACTAGGCATACATTTGCCTCTTTTGGTTTGTCTGTGGCTAATTTCCTCCCACTGTAGTGATCCATGTCCTGCCAACCAGAAGAGGAGACCCAGGAATCAAATCTGCTTCTTTGTGTAGGCATAAACCAGATTCAACACCATAAAAAGCACATATGCTACAATGTGTTAATGAAATATCCAAGATCTGTTTCTATAATGCTATTACACTCAACCTCATTTCCAGGTCAGACATTTGTCAGACATTGCTGTGTTGCAGGTGGAATTGTGGACCCTCTCACTGAAACGGTGGCTCCTGAAGTAGCACACAGCACAGATTTTGCTCCTGAAGACATAAGCCTTGCAGCCCCTGCTTCTCCTGTCACCACTGAAATGGTAGCTGCTGTAGGCTCTGAGATGAGCACCACTGTACACCTCCCTGCTGCACTGTCCCTGGATGAAAAGCAAGTGCCCCGCAGACATTCTCCTACCAGCGCTCCTCCAGCCTCTTGGAAAAAAGCCTTGGCACCACAGATGGACTTTGGCCCAATGGCCATGGGGATCACAGCCAGTGAGGCTGAGCATTCAGTGAGCGCAGAGCATTCAGTGGCCATAAGTCTGTCGCAGCAAAGCTCCACTGCAGAGGCTTCCCCTGGCTTAACACAAGTGGATGCTCTAACAAATGCGTCCATGGGGACAGCCGAGCAAGAGCAACTCAGTTTGCTATTGCAGACGTCATTGAATCAAACCACCTCTGCTATCACTAGAAGTCACACGGCTTTTGGTGTGCCTCAAGCCAACTCTCAAAGTGGTCCTGGCACAGCTCTGCCAGTCACAAGGGTTGCTGTGGATCCCAACCTCAACACCACTCTCAGAGCACAGGTAGAGATGGGAAGAGAGAACAGCTCTTGGTCTGAGGAATACCCTGGAGCCCTGGGGTCACCGGCTTGGTCAGGTGCCTCTCCAGCTGTCAGCCCGACACCAGGCCCAGCCATGGACCGCAGTGAGTATGGGTCCAGTGGGGTCTTGCATGCGTGGCAGTTCAACTGCATGAGAGGCAAAGCCTTGCTCAGAGTCCAGAAAGATGCACAGCTGGAATTAGTGATCTGGGATGAAGGTATCTGACACTAGTTTGCCTATGGCAAATCTTTTTTTTTTTTTTCTCCACAGGAATTGGCACGTTTTCCTAAATCAGAATGTTAAAAAAATTATTTCTGGTAATTTGGCAGTTAGTTTTATCGATGTTACATTTCTTCATCTCAAAGGAGGTGAAGCAAACCGTACAGTGGTCTGAGTGTGGCTCATCAAAACATCTTGCTGCTTGTCTTTTTGCCACACATCTTGGTTTTCCCTGCATGGTCTGGCACCAGAATATGGCAGCAGCAGCCACCTATACAGTTAACTCAGAGACTGTTCCCCTCAGTGGAGGATGGATTAGGCAGAACCCCACAGATCCCCTGTGGGGCAGGAGCTGCATGAAAACCTGTGAGCCACATTTTCAAGAGACGTAATTGAGAGTAACTAGGCTGACAGGGAGGGCTTCATCTGTTTGGGTTTGGGCAGAGGTATTGCAGCTAATTAGGGGATTCTTCTGCTGATTGGAGCTGAATCATATTTCAAGGTTAGAGACAGATTTGGTCCTTAAATTATGTTTCTGCTTGGGATATCAATGCTGCTGTCTCTGCCCATCACTAAATGTATTTTTTTCTATACCTATTTCAGTTCTGTTTCTGCTTTATTCTTCCTCTCATGCCCTCCACATCTCTCTGATCTCAAACCACACTCCTCCCTGCTCCTTTCTCTTCCATCCCCTTCTACAGTCTTCAGTTCCTGGAGGTCTTCATTCATCCAGCCCCACTTTTGGTTCTCCCTCATTCCTTTCTCCCTGGAAAACCTCTTTTTCAGCCACATAAGACCAGCTCTGCTGCTTCTTCAGCCTCTCTTGTTCCACCAGTCCTGATTTCCAGTGCCACAGTGTCTATTTCTCCAGTCTTACTAAGCTCTGGGCAGCCACGATGATGCCCCTGTTCAGCTTTTGTCTTGTCTCTTTTTCATGTTGTCTCCTTTGCTCTACCTGGCATTGGTGAGACCTGCGAACAGAGCCGGGCAAATAACTCATTTGGGACCTCAGTGGCCAAATGAAAGAAACAAATAATTTCGGACTGAACATCATGTTGACCTGAATTTAAAAACTCCATTTACTGCTTTGCTTTGTAATCCCTCCTCCCCCCTTTAAAGGAGGGAAGAGTAAAAAAAAATGTGGTGAGGTGTTTTTAAAAGAAGAAAAAAAATGTTCATTTTAAAAAAACATATCAAAATAGCTAATTTTAACTGACAAAAAAACAGAGGTGATTTTCTTCCAGCTGGAACACAAATTGAAGAATTCTACAGAAGCCAGTTCAGTTTATAAAAAATTGTTTCCTTTTCATGATGAATCAAATATTGAACCAAGTGCTTTTGCTGAAAACAACACTTGTGAAGGGATTATGCCTGGAGAACAAGAGGTAGAGCCACCATAATGGTATCTCACTAGGCCAGGGCAAGGCATTGAGAGGGCAAAAATCTGTTTGGAGAAGTTTAATATATAGCTCCTCCTTGTTGTAACTTTTCTGACCTAGAGGGTCAACCACAGCCTTCATATTCTCATCAAATCTTTTAAATACTGATTTTCTTTTCATTTTAAAATAGTTGAGAAAATTTTCCCTTCTCACCATCAGAAAACTGAATGTGTTTTATCTCATAAATACCTAAGTTCACATGACAGGAAAAGCCATAGCAAAAAGCAAGCCCAAATCCTTTGATCTGACTGGTGATGGTGAGCATTCCTTTGGGATTAGAAGTATCCTGGGATAGATGAAGCTTGCTTCAGTAGCCTGCTTTAAGCAGGTGTGACTTTCTCCTCTCCCCTGAAAAACTTTACTTGATGACTATTTCTTTTCTTCTAGTACCTGTTCCAGCTCAAAGGATTATTGTCCTCAATGTGACTAAAGCCAACGTTGATGTAACGACATCCACAGATTTTATGCAAAGCCCTGCTACTCAATTCTTGCTGCTTCAGAAAAAGCAGCTAAGATGGGAGACTAAAACTCAGTGCAGAAGTCTGACAGTCTCAGAGCTGGAACCTGATGCCTTATTTACTGTTGAAATCAGAACAGATGTGTGTAGGGAGGAAAGCAAGCTGGTACATCAGAGAGGAAATACTGGTAACTTGATTCAGAAACAATTTTAAACTGAATCTTTAGCCAGATGGTAGAGTTCTTGAAGTCTTTAGTGAAGACTATCCATATTCATATAAAACATTGAAATGCTGGATCCTGGTGTGCTAGGAGTTATGATCTGTCAGCAGCAGGAAGGTAGTGTGAAGGCAGTTGAGTATGAATCACGTCTTGAGAAGCCCTTTCTCTCCTGCTTGTTATCACCTTCAGTGTCTGTAGTAACAGTGCCAAAAAACAGTGATATTAAGAAATGACCTAAAACATTCAAGACTGTTTCAATGTGATTCAGCAGATACAACTTCAGGGAGGAGGCATGCACCCTGTTGAGATTCATGTCATCTTACAATAGCTGCCTAAAGCATAAATGTCTAATCTCAGACAGCAGTCTAGCCTTCGTCTGAGTTTGGAGGGAGGACCTTGGTGCTGAAGTGATTTGCCATCTGCAAGGACTGGAGTTGCCTCATTGCATGTGGAGGGAGCTGGGACAGCTGAGACCTGAGACTAGGAGAGCAATTCAGGTGCCTGAACATAGCCATAGAGCAACATTTCAGACACCCCAGTGCATCCAAGACAGAGCTGGCAGATGTAAGGCCTACAGGAGGCCTGTGCCCTTCTTGAGAGGCATCCAAGGGCCAGAGAGGGCAGACTAAGGTGCTGGATGCCTATGTTTAGGCATTTGGGTTTTTGGCTATATTTCAGAGGGCTGGCTGGCCGCTATTATGAGTTGACATATATCCTGTGTGGCCAGGCATGCCAGTGACTGTCACACACTTGTCTGTGGACCACAATCCATGGAGCATGTATTTAAATTCTTCTTTTCCTGCTTTGCAGTTGTCCAGAAGCTTAGTGGCATAGTACATATAACAAATGTGAAATACTCTCCAGGCTTTAGCAATGCAAGCAGTGAGGAATATCAAACCTTTGCACAGCTCTTTGTTGATGAAGTAAATGGCTAAGAAGTTCATGATCTGTTACTCATCTCAATTAAAACATGTGTACAATGTTTTTCTTTTGAAGGCCATATGCCACATATGTGTCCCTTGACACATCTGTAAGGTCTGAGTCCCTCTGACTATCTGAGACTGCAGGATGACCATGCAGCAGTGTTTTAAAGTGAGATCAGGATTTGGGGATTGCCTGGTGCCTCCATTTCCTCTGCTTCTCATATCTGATTATACTGGTTTATTGATTTCCTCCAGGGATGTAGTGAAAAGTTAATGGATATTTGCAAAATGCTCTGATAGCCTTGCCCCGCGCAGCAGTATATTAATGAACTGTATGATTGTTATTACCCTTTGTCATAGTACTTTCAGGCTCATATTTCTTATAACCATTCTTAGTTTTGTAGCCCTCTATCTGGAAAGGGAGTGATTTCTTGATAGGTCACCCCTGCCCTCACTTCTAGTTAGAGCACAGGATATCAAAGCACACTGCAATATATCAAAGCACACTGCAATATCAGCTGTGCCTTTAACGCTTTTGTAATGCTCGGGCATTGCCTTTAACTGTATTACTCTCCTAATTTCTTAGTGAATTTATCAGAAGTTTGTTCTTTCTGATGTTTACCCAAACACACCTGTGCTTGGAAAACAGCTGGTTATGCTGGGCTCCTTTATTGCCTTCCTTATCTCCCCTTAACTGGCTGTGTTTTCAGAGGCCCTTGATAATTGTGATGCCAAATCCTTTGCTGACAATCGTATGAATTCTGAAGTTCTGCAGAGGCCTCCCCAAACTTTCACTGTGTACAGAGGTACAACATGTCACTGAAGTACAGCTGTCTGCAGCCTGTGTTTGGGCAGACATTAGGCCAGCGTGGAGTTAGAGACAACTGCAAGGAGGGAAAAGCGTGATCTGTTTAGCTGTGTGTAATATTTCCTCAGATACCAAATAGGTTTCTCACTGTTCATTATCACTTTGCACCTTTCTGGATGTGTTAGCGGAGCACAGCTTTCTCAGAGTTGTTTTGACCACGAGCTGTCACATCAGAAGAACAGCCACAAAATGAAAGTGACGTGATTAGCAAAGTGAAAAGGGAACAATTCTCCTCTGACCTCACTCTCATTCAGCATCACTCTCTGCCTGAGGCTGTTTTGGAATAGCATAATATTAAAATGGACTAAAATGAATGTATTTCCTTCATAGACTATTCAGTCAGATACCTTAAGCCGAAAAATATTGATACAAATGTATTTGTAAAATTTGTAAAATGATTACATAAAGGAACTAAAACAAGTTTTTGTGTCAGTTTTACCCAGTTCTCAAAGTTTCAGGCAGAAAATGATCATTTGTTATTATAAGGAATTAATTCATTTTTCCAGTGCGCCAGTTTTGTGGATCAGACAGTGAGACATTAGCATTGATTCCATCTACCTTTGAGACACTGTATACAGGCTATAGTATCATAGCTACTGTACATGTCAAAATGTGTTGTGACTGTTTTAATACAAACATTGTTTTCTAGATGCCAAAGAAAAGGAAATTTAGGAAAACAGAAAGATTGCATATTTTCTTGTCTGGTTATAAGGGCCATTTGATTCAAATTGATTCTTGCAAGTAAAAGAGGAAAGTTTCATGGGCTTTAAAAGCACTATCAGGTTACAGTTGAATAAACTTTGCCAGAGATTTTTTTTTTTAATCCTCTTTGGAGTCAACATCTAAAATTCAGAGGATTGTAATTGTAATGTGTATAACTGTAATGTGCATAATGTACTTTAGCATAGAGCTGGCCCAGCATTTGTCATGTGGTTAAATTGGCAGCACAACAAATGGCAATAACATCCTTTAAATAATGTGTAGATTTGAATGAGGTAAAAACTTGATGCAACACCTTGCACTGTCATTGTCCAGGCTAATTTCACCATCTTCTTTGCAATGCAACTGAGAAACAACATAGCTAAGGGTGAGACAATATTTTAGTCTTCTTGGGTTTTGCCCAGCCTGTCTTTTGCAACAGCCAAGAACAATATCATGGCAGCTAGGGCTTGTCCTCAAGAAAATGAATTGGGAAAACAAAAAGTTTGAATTGAAAATGCATTCACTGAGGTGCACTAAATTCCTGAGTGGAAAAGTTTGGTTTGAATCTGGGTGTCTTAAACTTAACTGATTGACAAGAAATGTAAAACTAATGAATGATATTGCCTTATCAAGGTGAGCCCTGCATTTGGAAGTGGCATAGCTTTTGTCTGATGTAGCTTAATACACCTAAATTGCAGTTAAAGCTATCTAAATAGGGAAGAAGTGTTGATACAGGGCTTAAGGCAGTTTCATTATGCCAGTGTAATTTCACCCTTTTTTTAAATTTGAGTTTATCCACAGTTTGGTACATCCCTAAAGCTGCTGGTGATGATGGCTGGGCAGATGTATGCTCCAGTACCTTCTCTCTGAAAATGCAGCCAAAGCACTGACAATGAGAAGGGCTTTTTTCACTTTGAATGTAAAAACAGGCTTCATGCAGGGTGCTGCTCAAATTAATGTGCCTTTTACTCACTTATTTCCAGTTTCCCAACTGCCAGTGCATTCCCTGCTCTGCTCGCCAAGCAGGCTCTTGTGCAGGTACCCACAATAGCTCCAATGAACTGCTGACATTTTGCTTGGGACCTGCGGATGAGTGGTCCCAGAAAACCCACCAAGCATGCCACAGCCACTCGTGAGGTGAGCCCGGCTGTCTGAGCCTGCCACTTTCCTTTTGTTCAAAACAAACTCTTGGCCTTTCCCATCCTGTTAAGTGAGGTTTAGTGTGGCTTCCATCTGGCCCTAAACTTGGACTTTATCTGCCTCCTGTTTTTCCTGCCGAAGCAAGGGACATTTCCTTCCCTTGATGCTGGTATTAATTTTGCTCATGTTCTTTACCTTTCTTGTGACTCTTCTTCTGCAATACTGATTTCTCCTGGTCTAGCATTGCTAGTGTTTTCTTTGTGTGCAACAGAAATTGTAGATACAGTGATGGATCCCAAGATAACTATTTGTCTAGTAAGAAAAACCCATACTCAAAGGTATTGTATAGTGAATATTTCATTCAAAAACCCCTACTCTTTCTTTTCCTTTCTTTCTAGCCCCACTTTATCAACCATTAGATTAATAACCTAGGGTGTGGTACCTGTTGTGAAATCGTGTAGCTTTCTGGATAAAGGGTTTTGTAGTGTCACCTAGTGGCTAAATACAAATACCATGAATGTTCCCCTGACACTTTTCAAGCTCTGAGTCTTGCTTTGTGAGGGAAAATATGAATAAGGACAAAAACCAACCAACGAACCAAAAAAAAAATAAAAACAAACAAAGAAAAAAATTCCAAGCCTTAGGTAAAAAGGAAGCACTGATAAAATAAAATCTTCAGGATAGATAAGAAGGGAATACAAGTGAAATCAGGGATGGGCTAAATGGATGTCACAAGTGTGTATTTAAATCCAGAAGTTCAGACAAAAACTATGAAAGATGAAAACTTGGGGCTGGCCTCCAACTTTTCAGTACCTGCTTGTGAAACAATGGAGAGAGGAGAAGGGGTCCAAGAGCCCCCTGGCTTGGTGAAATGGGAAATTTTGGAGCTGACAAAGACAGCCTAGGGTCTGCCCAGGCTTTTGTAAGGAACTGAGCCCTTTCCATCCTCCCGGCTCTGCCTGTGTGCCCCATGGGGCACTGCATGGTTTTTTCTGTGGGACTTCCAGGTGCATGAGAGCCCTTTGCAGGTGCATGCAGGGGGTTTGCTCCATGCGTGCTACCTTGCCACCGAAGGCATGCAACACACCTCAGCTCTGAGAGCTCAGAAAAGGGCTGCAGCACGTCTGCAAGATCTGGGCCTGTCTGCAGGGCTGGATAATACATAGTGGGCAAGTAAAGTCGGGGATGGACAACACACATCAGGTGGGTAAGTCAGGCTTGGCGTGTAGGTGTGCAAGAGCTGTGGTCACCTGGGAGAGTCCAGCACAAAATGCACAAGCTCTGTGCATGGGTGCAAGAGAAATGAAACTGCTTCTCCTGTTGGCTCCCACTGCTGAGCCTTGCCTTTCCTCTTCCCTGGGTTGCTTAACTTGTTCAATATTCACAGTTAAATATATACCGTATCCTTCAGCTGCTGTAGAGTGGAAACATTATAAAACAAAAAGTCAATTTTCTCCTGCTTCCTTCCAGAGTATGAAGCACAATGGTGATGCATAATACTCTCTTCTGGGTAGTGTACAAAGCCTAAAATGTAATTGCTTCTGTTTGTCCATCCTCACATGCTTTTTGTTATTCCAGGTACATAAATCTCTGCCCCTTGAGGTTCTTCAGCAGATGGATGCTGGACTGATTAAAGTGTTGATAAAAGGTATTACTAATGGAAGCACAGTGGTAAGTTTCAATTTGCTGATTGCAGAAGATGTGGATATCTACTACATCATCACCATTTTTCGTGATGCCTTTGAACACAGCTCCTATTTCACAGTTGACAAGAGCAGTCTCTCCATAAGCGGTAAGGAGCAGCTTGCATTCCAATAGTTCTTCACTACTAGAAATATGATAAACCTATTATTAATCTGTATTTTTTGAGGTGAAAGTATCTGTAAAACAGGTGGATGAAATGTAATTCTCTCTGCTTATATCACTTCTGATTACACAGCCAATAAGCTTTTTTAGAGAACATAAAAAGATTAAATAAGAAGTAAGGTACTCCTGATCTGAAAGGACAAAAACAACTGGTCTTTCTGTCTGTAGCTAGCATTAATTTTATGAAGAAGAAGATATGGAGACGTTTGAAACAGTGGTCACAAATTGAGGGTTTTATAATCTACCAAAGGAAGTAGGTCCCTGTACACAAACATAACTAGCTCTGATTAAAAAAAATTTCAAACACATTACCCTTTGCTTTGTGCATATAAATTTGCATGTGATAGAAACCTCAAGAAACATATAAATGAACATGTGAATTCGTCTGCACTGGAAATATGTGTGTGCTGCTTTTAGCTGGGACAGAGTTAATTTTCTTCATAGTAGCTAGTATGAGACTGTGTTTAGGATTTTTGCTGAGAATAATGTGATAACACACTGATGTTTGAGTTGTTGCCAAGCAATGTTTACATTAAGCCAAGGGCTTTTTTGGTTTTTTAACTCTCTCTGTCCTGACACAGCCAAGACAGCTGACTCAAACTGACCAGAGGGATATTCTATACCACAAGATGTCATGCTCAGTACATGAGCTGGGAGAGCCGGCCAAGGGCACTATCATTAGTCAGGGACTGGGTGGGTATCAGTTGGCAGGTGGTGAGCAGTTGAAACACAGTTTTTTATCTTGGTTTTGTTTTCTCCTACTATTTTGTGGTTTCATTATTTTGTCAGTTTATTATTTTTCTTTTTATTTCAATCATTAAACTGTTTTTATCTCAATCCAGGAGCTATCTTATCTTATCCCTCCATTGCACTAGAGGGGGGAGGTCAAGAAACAGTTGCATGATGCTTATTTGCTTGTTGGGATTAAACCATGACAATGTGTTTTCCTCACACACCTTTGGGTTGGGATTTCAGATGGAACTCTACACCTTACCAGCACAGTGGCTGATTGTACAACTTCTTTTCCTTTATATGTAATTTAAGTCACTAACAAGAAACTTTAATCTTCTGAATAACTGCTGATGAATTCTGTTTCACAAGTTGATGCATCATCTCTGGAAAAAATAGCAAATTCTATATCCTTAACATGATATGTTTATCCAAAGGATGTTGTTATAAGCTATCAATTAGAATCTCACACAAAATGGCTTCAGAAGCATGTATATCATCTGTCCTGTACATTCTCTTTGCCTGTTACCCTTACAGCTGTGAATCTGGAAAGTCACGTATCACGTTAATTACTAAGATCATGACTATCTTGTAGTGCTGCTTTGTAGAGTGCCTGCCCCCCTTTAATCTGTGCTAAAACAAATGGTTTGTTTCAGGGACAGGTCCACATAGAGCAGGTGGTTAGTGCTGCTTTCTGAGGCCCACCTATGGTGTTACATCCTTATTTGCACCTTGAGAAGAGAAAGGGAAGTAAAGCATATTTTTCCATTTGAATGTGAACATTTTGGCCAGGTAAAAATTAAAAAAGCAACTAGACTGCAACTTGGACCAGTCACATGAACCTCCTGCTTCACTCATGCTGGGCATTTACTAACCATCTCCTCAGGAGTGTGGAATGGGGGAGGCAGCTGAGGAAGCCCTCAGGGTTAGAAGCATCCCCTTGGGCTGTTGATCACATTAAGAGGGTAGGAGCTCTGCAGCAGGGTGCCTAAGTTTCAGTGAGTATCTGCTGAGCATCATCAAGCTCCTGGAAGGTTTTGTCAGTGCCTTGCAATTAGCCCTCTAAGCTGTTCTTCCAGTATTTCAGCTCTTTAGACCTAGCAGCAGCTGCCTGTAGAGCAGTACAGTGTTACAGTAGAGCAGTACAGTGTTACAGTAACACACCTAAGTGGTGTAATCCCACCATCAACCATGATTATATGACCATGCTCTAGTTTCAGAACCATCACATTTTCATTTATACACTCTCTACCTTTGCCTTTTGCTTAAATATACCCTACAGATTATGATGAGTGCAAAAGTGAAGAAGATGACTGCTCCCCGGATGCATCATGTCATAACACACTTGGGTATTACCAGTGCAGCTGCAATGAAGGATTTGCTGATGTGCGTCCAGAAAGGCCTGGAAGAAGCTGTGAAGGTAAAAAAAATATTTATTATCTAATGGCTAACTGAAAGCTTAGTGATCTGCTCTTTATTGGATTATGGTCACACTTGCTACAGGTCTAGAAATTTTGCCAGGGATTTATTTTGTTCATTGTTTTCAGCTGGATACTAATGGGAAAAGTCTTGCAGTGGACATTAAGTATTTCTGACTGTAATGCTCTGTCCTGAGAGTTTACTATATTAATATTTAATGCTGTCTTTGTTAGGTTCTTTTAACAGTTCTGTTTTCTCATATTTGCCATTAAGGTTAGATAGGATTGTCAAGATTGTTAGTTATTTTCATTAGCAGTAGCAGAGGGGAAGCAGAGTTAATAGAGAAACTAACAGAAAGCACTGGGTACATGGTTGACCTCTGTAGGGCAGCAGAGATGAAATGCTGGTATTACAAAGTGTGTTTATGTATGAGTCAATTAATCTATCTTCTTTCTTTCCTTAAATCAGTTGTTAGCTGATGTATGAAGGGTCTTTAAGCTCCTACATTCTTTTAGTTTTCTTGAGTAATTTCTATTTGCTTTTTGTAACCACAATGCTAAGCTACGCTTTGGCTGAAGGATTTGTCAACTGATACCAAGATATTCTCAGTCTTGTTTAACCAAGATATTTAGCATTATGATTATGAGCTTTTGCAAAATTCAGCTCTGAAAGAGCTCAGACTTACGTTCAAATTAGCAACTTTTTAATTTGGGGCATTTCCAAAAGCTGGGGAGTTCCAGAAGGAGATATATATGTACATATATATATATATATGTACATATATATATGTGTGTGTGTGTGTATATATATATATATATATATATACAGATTTTATATGTTGCTTGGGAAATAGATACTTTTTATCTGTACAACCCCTTAAAATTCTTTATGAGAATTTTTGCGCGATGAACACATTCTCTGTGTTTCACTGCAGTTGGAGTTTATTATCTCAGTGCTCTCTCTCAGTGGTGGTTGAATACTTAAGTCATTTCTACTAGCAAAGAGCCATAGGGTAACCCCAGTGCCTGTGCTGGAGGTCAGGTGTTCAACATACGCATTGATCTCAACCTATGCTTCCCCTTTTCCCCTGCTTACTTTCTTCCTGAAATCATTAAAGATTGCTACTAACACATTTGCTCAACTCCCCACTGTGGCTCTCAGGACATATGTTTTGGGTACCAACTGGTCACAAATGGGACCAGGTTTTTTAACAAACTTTGTTCCTGTTAATACCCAACATCCAGAAATGTGCAGCCTCCTACAGTACCAGGCAAAAAAATATGAACACTTGCTGAGCAACTTACAGCTGGGGAACTCTTGCAAGCATTGATCTTCCAAAAGCTGTGTATCTGTGTTTTAATTGAGCATACTAATTACTGCAGCTCTCAGGAAGTAAAAGACTTCAGCTTTACTCACAGGCACTTTATGTATCTTTTGTGTACTTTCTTAAAAAGAAGCCACAGCTCTGACAGTAAGTAGAGCGGGTTTAAAAAAAAAACAAAAACAAAACAACCAACAAACCACAAAAGAAGCTAGTTTCCGGCCGGGAACTGTGAGTTTCCTCCTAAGAGTTTGCTCTTACCTTATAATATCAATTTGTTTGATTGACAGCACCTTTATTTTTGGCTCTCTTCAGCATTTCCTGTCAGCCAGGAGGCAACATTGATGGATAGGAAACCTGTACACAACACGGTTTCACCTGAAACACCTTTGCAAACTTCAAACTCCATGTTTCCTCCCATGCTTCATCAGACTTCTCTACTGATGAGCACAAAGCTCTGGAGGACACCACGTTCTCCAGCACAATGCAGCTTCCTCTCACCATGGATGCTGTGTCAATACCAGATGCTTCTCCTCAAACATGTCCTGTCTCCACCATTAAACCTGCCCAGGAAATTTCCATTAAAGATGCAGTGAGAGTGTTCTGTGAAATCGAGAAGATCATCCTTGCTGTCCAGAAGAGATTTTTACAGCAGCAGTCTATCCCAGAAATCTCTTTGTACCTGGGGGAGCCTCGCTGCAATGTGAGGATCAGCAATGGCACTCACGTTGTGCTGCAGGCAGGCTGGAGTGACTGTGGCACTGAAGTTGAGGCTGTAAGTCCCTCCTCAGCTGATGAATGCTAAGAAGCCCCAGACCACTTTGGTTTTGGTCTTGGGGTGAACGGGGAGAGAAAGGAGCAATGGCAGAAGCTTAGTTAGGAGTACAGTCTATTGGTTGCTGAAATTTTGGGCAAAGAAATTTATTTGGAGAAAAAGCCTCTTCCTGTGAGTGGACATTTCCCTCGCTGTTTGGGGAGGAGGACAAGCAAGAAAGAGAAGGCGAATCTTTGGGGTCAGGCAGCAAAACTCAAGGCCTTCTCTGAACTGAGAGTTACTGCCCATGTCTCTCTGGGTTCCCCTCTGCAGCTGTCAGAAGCTTCTCTTTTCTTAAAAGCAATTTAATGATCATATTTAGACGAATACCCTAATAGTTACCAGTAATGGGGACAAAGAGTGATGGCTATCTCTTTGAAGCCCAAACCAAACACTATGATCTGGCCATGCTGAAGTTGAGAAATTCCCTTGCGGAGCAGGCTGAGGAAGAGGAGGACAGCTGATGGATTTTCATTGTGTCATTGTATAGCAAATAAGACACTAGAGGTTTAATCTGTTTGATTTTTGCAGCTAGGAGAATGAAGAACTTGTAAGCACTTGAAGCTGGTGAACCTGTGGCTCAGTTATATCCCTAAACACACTGATGTCCATGACTTGTGCTTTCTTCTTTCTGTGTTCCAGAACATGACTAACATCATAGTGAAAACCATTCTCCGGAATGATGTTTCTACTCAAGGAGTAATCAACCATTTAAAAGTTGCCAGTCCCATTCACTGTGTGTTTCAGAATGATGTCTTGGCTTCCTCTGGATACACTGCAGAAGGGTAAGTAACAACTCTCTCTGCTTTGAAATGCTGTTGTGTGGCTGAGCACTGCTGCATCAGAAAAATCCCCAGGGACCTTGACTGTATCCAGTAACAGTGCTTGCTATGCTAAGAGGTCTGCCATCCTGTGAGTCCTGTGCTCAGGTGATCCCTGCTATGTGCTTCTCTCCTACTCCATCTAATGTGTGAATAGATCCAACAGCCAACAGGCTTGGCCATTGCCTGGCTCAACCACAGATGCAAAGAAACCTTTGGGAGCTACTAGTGCAGGTTTGGGAGCCAGAACTCCTAACTTCTCTTTGTCTTCTTGGGCAATCATGTGTAGTAATAACAGTAACTTCCTGGTTTTGGAACGTACCTATGGTGTAACTTTTCAACTGATGCAGTCATACAGACAGCTATGTGGGTGTTGAGGATGGGAGTTTTTAACACCCACAAATCTTCATTTGATCAACTTGGAAAAAAGAGAAGACACATAATGCAAATACTTTTTTATGGAAGGTCCCATCTTCAAGTAAGATATAATCAATCCACTGTTTACAGAAAATCAAACCCATGCTCACAGAAAAGGTGGCAGCACAACCTCTGCTCTGATGGTGAATATTCTTCCTTCGTATAAGTGCATCTCCTCTCTCTTGCCTAGCACCACGCTTAGGCTATCATCACTAAATCCACTTTCTGTTTCCTAACTGTCCAGACATTGTATTTTCCTTTTTATCACCATGCAAAGTCTTTGTCAGGCCCCTTCTCTCTGAGCTCTGTAATTTTCTGAAGTCCTTCACCTACTGTTCAGATTTGTCCTTTCTCCTTAACTTTTTGGGCTCTTATTTTCTTCACTAAGCTTTTACTCTCCTTATTTTTAACTTAAGACAGCTCATGGTCTTGTTCCCCTTCAGCTCCACTCAAACATCTCTCTCTGCTCTATTTTTATTGCCAAGACATTTCACCCTCTGGATTTCCCTACTTGCATTGCCATGCTCCCTATCTTCACAGCTGAAAACTCGATGCATTTTCACTTTCCTCTTGAATCACGGAATCACAGAATATTAGGAGTTG